GTAAACTTGCGGATGAAGGTTGAACTTGGATCTTGACTTGAATGCATAGCTTCACTCAACAATCCCGCCAACCTCCATTGGATATTATCGCTATGGCGCAATTCCATCCATCCTCCGACATATTATTTGTCTAGAATACCTAATAAGAAAACATAAACACTAGACAAATAGTATTAGGAATTGTTTGTAATCATCAAAACAAGATTAGAAGATGTAGGCTCATAACATGAGACCTAACACAAGGCCCACTAAAACTTATGAAAGATTAATTGAATAAAAATAATTCTCAACTTATCGTTGGCAAGCCTGGAACACATGACCTTTTGAAATACCAAAACTTTAATTTTCCATTACGCTACTAATGATTTTTGAAAAATACCAGTAATTAATAAATACATAGTTTAAAAACTCATTTTTAAAAAGCGGTTTTGACTAAAAAATCCAACAGAACCTAGATGTTGCGTTTCTTCAAGTGAATTGTGAGGGGCATAAGTCTATGGGTTATAGTTTGAATGTTCATGTTCTTCCCTTTTTTAGATTTTATCGAGGCGCAAGTGGGCGGCTTTGCAGCTTCAGCTGCACTAATGCAACTGTGAGTTTTTGTTGTTTACTGAAATTGTTATGGGGTTGAATTTTGAATTTGTTCAATACAGTGTTTGGGGTGCCAGTAGGACTTCGGGGTTATATAACTTCATCTCGATCTTTTGCTTTGATCTACAAATGATCCAACAAAGAAAAAACAAGGGTAAATTTCACAAAACTACTCTGAATTTCGGTGTGTTTTGCTCAAAAACTATCATAAACTTTTTATTAGAGAACGTTATTAGAGAAAACTATCATGGAGTTTTTCCCCCCACTAAACTACCATGTCCTTTAAATGCTTGACGATAATTAGATAGGTTATTACCTGACGTGTTTCACACATGACATGATTTGGACAATTTTGTTATGATGCACTTGACGCACTTTATATATATATTACCCTTATAAACTTTGTAGGACGGTAAATATATTTAAGGGTAGTTTAAATTTTTACCAAGATATTAACGCTGTTGGCAATAATTTCCAATGGTCATGGTATTTTTCTACAGTTTTTGAGAGTTCGTGATAGTTTTCTCTAACAAGAAGTCTATAGTAATTTTGTGGATAACTCCCCAAGTACATGATTTTTGTGAAATGTACCAAAGATAATCCAAGAAGAAGCAACTTTTTTTTTGATAGAAAGCGGCAGAGCAAGATGGAAAATGATAATTGTAGTACAAGATTCATGCTACTGTACTACCATTAACAAATGTGTCAGGTCCTTTCTTGGAAATGATCAAGAAAAATTGTGAGTCATCATGAACCCTTATTTTTTTGTCAGTGGGAGTACAAATATAGTATAAATTTTGTAGTACAGTTATCACTTCTCGAATATGATTTCTTCTTGGAAGAAAAATTCTTTTCGATCAAGACGGGCTAATACTCCCTTCATCGCAAATTCTTCCGTTACCTTTTCTCATTAATAGTGTT